CTACTGGGGTGACATTTTCCGAGGAGGAGCTCCCCACCAGCAGTGGCACCCCACTCCTCACGGAACTTGGTAAAAACACCAATTCTCAGGTCCTGAGCCCTGCTGACTACTGGAGAGGCCTAGCACAACTTTGTACAGCTTTGGTTCCCTAATGTGAGTACACAGCACATGGCAGAACAGAGGAGCCTGGTCGACGGGAGTACACATGAGGATTAAAGACGGTCAAAGGGGCCAGGGGCTAGCATGAACAGTACAGAATGCATCATCAGGGGAGGGCCGGAACCTGCAGGCTGCTGTCTAGCCCTTGCCCTTTGTGGTAAAAACCACAGAAATGACAGGCATGAAGCAATACCTAGGAAGCCCCATGGGAGACTTCCCTAAAGTGCCACATCCCATGATAGAGAGTATCTCCAGTCCCCAGGATAGGGAGTATCCCCAGTCCCCATGATAGAGTGTCCCCAGGATAGAGTATCCCCAGTCCCCATGATAGAGTGTCCCCAGGATAGAGTATCCCCAGTCCCCATGATAGAGTGTCCCCAGGATAGAGTATCCCCAGTCCTCATGATAGAGAGTATCCCCAGTCCTCATGATCGAGTATCCCCAGTCCCCATGATTGAGTATCCCTAGTCCTTATGATAGAGTATCCCCAGTCCCCATGACAGAGTATCCCCAGTCCCCATGACAGAGTATCCCCAGTCCCCATGATGGAGTATCTCTAGTCCCTAGGATAGCGTATCCCCAATTCCCGTGATAGAGTACCCCAGTCCCCATGATAAGAGTATCCCAATCCCCAGGATAGAAAGTATGCCTGCAAATGAGCTTTCCCTAGCAATGCAGGGACAGCCATCACACACCACCCAGAGGCCACGCCTTCCTCAGGACTGAAAGACTACAGCCTGACCTCACCAAGCAGAGAACTGCCGGTGGGCTGGAATCTGCAGGGGATACCAGCACAGAGCAATGACCGGGGCTACAGGGCTGTCTGGCCAGGGTGAGCGCTGTGGTAACCACCCTGTCTGGAAGGTAGCCAAGCCTGGCTGGTTACCATGAACAGCTCTGTGGTCACAACCTAACTACACACGGGGATGGCAGGATAAGTCTGGCATTTATGGGCCCAAAGTCACCATGAGAAGCAGCAGCTAAAGTGGCTGAAAGTGGATGCAGGGAGAGGAGGGGCAGAGGACTCAGGTTTTGTCAGTCTTTATCGTAAAATAACAAACTTCAAGAAATAACATCAACACAGAGGCCAAAGCCTGGAAGCTGAGGAGACTCCCAGGGGTCGGCCTTGAACCAGGCTGCTGGCTGGCCCCTCAGAACCTCCTCCACCTGTGCTCTGTACCCCCAGTACCTGTCAGACTCCCCAGGAAGCTTTAGCACTGGCATGGAGTTGGGGAGGGAAGAACGCAACAGGGCAGAAATGGCCTTTTCCAGGCTGACAGGAGGGGAGGGGCCATGAAGGGTTTCACACTGGACTTGGAAAGACACGCCAAGCCAGCTGCATGCTCCTGTACTAATGACTCAGCTCAGAGCTCCTTCCTGGAGAGGAGGGCCATACCCACAAGCCCAGCCCACTTCCTGCCATTTCTATCCCTCAATCAACAAGAGGATGTTCTACACACCCAGAAGAGAAATTTGATCCTATAAAGCTGATACCTGGATTCTTCCAGGAAGAACCTTCCCTCTCCAAAGCATCTTCTACAACCCTGTCACCATCAGGGCCAAGTCCAGCCAGTCAGTGAGTCACTCACTCAGGACTCAGAGCATCTTTCCAACACCACACCACAGAGCCCAGGGACTAGGGCAACATTTGCATCCAAGTGGGTTCATCATTCCCTCGAGCACCTGGCACCGACTGAGTTCGTTCAGTGAAGACTCTGATTCAAGCAATTTTAAGATGTCACTGCTGTTGACAGTACTCCACGGGAAAACACACCAATGGTGCAGCTCTGTGCCCGACTCACACACACTGCTGGTAAGCTTCCAGGCACACAAGAGACGAGGGGTCTAGGCATATTTTATAAATCCCCAACACAATACCCCTATGGAAACAGGCATTAAGTACTATAAAGCCTCTGCAAACACTTCTAGGAACACAGTGCCCAGATCAAAGGAAACGGTCTGCACTCTGTAAACGAGCTGGCCTCTCAAGGGCTCTCCAAGGATTCTCTGCTCTGGGCAGCTCACTGACACCTTCCCACACTTGAAGCCACAAGGATTGGCTTCAGACACGCACTTTAACCAAAGAGCCAGTGAGATGGAAACCCCAACAGACAAATAAAATAAGCTGACCGGGCAACACCGACTGCCACAAACTTCCCAGAGGGCGCTGTGGGAAGCTCAAGGACAGGTCTGTTATAGAAGCCTGAGCTGGCTGGGATGGAGGGGGGCCGCATGGAATCCAGGGCCAGTGAGGTGGGTGGTGGGGATGCTGACAAGGCCATAGCTCCTCTCAGGGTAGAAAAATAGTCTGTCACAATCAGTATTCATGAGCCTGAAAAGGACCACTTGCTTGAAAGCAGAACTAACCTCCCCTGGGTGGGACCTACAGCCAATCAAAAGGGCAGTGCCAACAAAGAGGCAATCAATCATGACACTGAAATCAGAACCACACAAAAGAGGGTTATTTAAAGTTAAGAAACAAGCCTTAAAAATCACTCCCAAATGGGAGGCTAGTCTGATTCTGGCAGGCCCAAGGCCCGTTATCCTTCAACTCAAAAGTGAACTGTCTCTCAGCATAGACTGAGCGCCTGCATCTGCATGGGGCACTACAGCCAACACACACATAATCTGCTCCCTGCTCTTGAGGAATCCCTGGCAGATATGAGCGTAAACCTATAGTGATGCCATTTGAGCTGGGGCATAAAAGATGAACAGACATCTGAGCAGAGAAGAAAAGAGAATTTGGTGCTCTGGGCTCTGTTTAGCCTGAGCACGAGGAACAGCGCAGTGCACCCTGATCAGCTGTGCCCAGACTTCAAAACCCACATGCCACAGTCACAATGTCAAAACCCACATGCCACAGTTGCAACATCTGCTGTCACCTGCCCCACCTTACTGCCTTTCCCTGGTGTCTCCTTCAACTCACTTTGATCTGTGCCTTTTTTGAACCAGGGTCTCACCCACTGCCCAAGCTGGTCTCCAATTCCTGGGCTCAGGAATCCATTCCAGCCTCTTGAGGAACTGGGACTGTGACAGCGTGCCTGGCTCGGCTCTGGTTTTTAGACAAGATCACTATGTAGCATGGGGCAGCCTCAAACTCATCCTTAACTCAGGTACCACAGCTTGCTTCCACTTCCCTCCTCCTTCCCTACCTCTGTGTGTGTATGTGCACATGGATGGGTAGGTGCTCACTGGAGACCAGAGCACCAGTTATTGATAGGCCCTGCTCTATCAATAACTCTTAGCCTATTCCCTTGTGATAGGGTGTCTCACTGAACCTGCAGCTCACTGGCTTGGCCAGACTGGCGAACAGGCCCCATGACCCTCCCGTCCTCATGCCCCACAGCACTACAGTTACAGGCACCTACACAGCCACACCCAGTTTTTCATGCTTGGGATCTATACTCAGGTGCAGAACAAGCACTCTTAACCCACTGAGCCAGCTCCGCAACCCCTTGTTTTGAAAGTTTACTTTAGGGGCTGGAGAGATGGCTCAGCAGTTAAGAACACTGAATGTTCTTGCAGAAGACCTGGGTTCAATTCCCAACATCCACATGGCAGCTAACAACTGTCTGTTAACTCCAGTTCCAGGGGATCTGACAGCCTCTTCTGGACTCCAAGGGCATTGCACGACATGGGTGCACTTACCTACATGCAGGCAATACATGCATATACATCAAATAAAAATAATAAATAAAATATTTTTAAAAAGTTTACTTTAGTCTCTTCCAGAATGACATTATCCATTTATGGTGTGCTTATATTTGACTTTAAAAATCCCTGCAAACTATGAAAGCAAAAAGTGTCCTCGATGACCCTAGTGGCGAGTCCTCCTCTGTCTGAGCTGCAGGGAAACCTGGGCTAGGACCTTCGAGGTCTGTGCTGTTAGAGGCAAGATCTGCATCTACTGGAAAAGGAAAGGCAAACCTCAGGAAGAACGTCTTTTTTTTTGGGGGGTCTTTTTGAGACAGGGTCTCCCTGTAGCCCCAGCTGTCCTGGAACTCACTATGTAGACCAGGCTAGCCTTGAACTCACAGAGATCCCAAGTGCTGGGATTAAAGGTGTGTACCACCACGCCCGGCCAGGAAGAATATCTTTAAGTACCATCTGTCAGTGAGTCACAGGGTGTTCTCCTGGGCTCCACAAGGCCCTACCCCTGATGTCTCACAACTCTCACATCCCCTGCTGCTGGGATGTCCTCATCCATCCAACTTTGATTTCCAGTTTTAAAAATGGGCACCAATGGTATTTTGGTAATTCCTTATGCAATCTCTTCAAAGTTTAAATTTGTACTTCAGCAGACATGGGACTATAAACTAGGTCAGCAAGCAGCATGGCCTCCTGAGGGATGCTCAGGGCAGGCAGGGGAGGGGGAAG